CCCCCCCCTCTTTTTGAATTCAATCTCTTTGATCTCAACAGTATTGTACCCGGAATTGCCTTGGTGCAGGCTTGTGACATTTCAATTATGTGGTGCATAGTTACTACAGGATTAGGAAAAGGCAGAAATCGCAGTTCCTTAGACTTCCGAAGGTTTAACGATATCCCTTTGTTGTTCTCTCCAGCAAAGTTTCCAGCCTGCTCTCCGGATGCCTGATGTTGAATCGTGATTAACAACATGAGCAACTATCACGTTGAAACTAACAGAATCATTATAAAATTTTATTTAAGCGTTAGTACATTAGCGTTAATAAGCTTAATGGTGCCTAGTCTTTGTTCACAAAGATGGAAAATCAAGAATTAGTCTGTACGAAGTGCATGATTTAAGATAATGTATAGTATTGTGAAATCTGACACATCAAATTAATGATCATCTGATGATTGTGAAGTGTGTTCCATATTGCTTTTTTGATTCGGTGATGATGAAGGCATGTCTATTTCTACTACGCTAAGCTGAACAGATACGGGTAACGGCTCAGAAGGTGCGAGGATACGGAAAAGTACTGTGAAATCAGCTCGCTCACGAGGGTTCTGGAATAAACTTGTCAGATGGTTGAGTTTTTTAGTCGTCGATAATACCTTAACGAAACAGAGATCCATAACTTTTTTCACTATCTCAGGTGAGCCTTTTGGAGGTTCCATTGGTGGTGTCTTTTCTGTGATTAACTCAATTACTTGTGCGTTATGTATACCAGGGAATGGGTCCGAACTACAATTAGCATAGATTTCCCACATGAGCACACCAAAACTCCAGACGTCCGTTTTTGTGGTAAATATACCCTGGATGAAGTAAATAAATGACACATCTAATAACTACGGAGAATTTTTGTCTCACCTGACTCAAAGTTTCTGGAGATAACCACCTTATTGGTACCTTTTGCAGTTTGCTCAACCGTAATTCGCTTTTATCCACAACAGAAAGGCCAAAGTCTGAGATCTTAACTTCATTTGACACTCCAAGTAGACAGTTTCTGGCTGCCAAGTCACGATGAATAACCTGAAAATGGGTGTGACGAAATTTGCGCTAATTATTTTTACGATTATGAAAAATGAATAGCAACATTGGCCCCTGATAGATAGCACATTCCACGGCATGCATCTTTAGCAAAGTTTAGCTTCTGCTCCACTGGTACATTGGCATTCTTTTTGAAATAAGCCTGAATATTGCGAATAGAATTTCAAAGTCCTGCCAACATGTTGATGGATAATGTATGTGACTGCACATAAAAGTCATTCGCTCATAGTTATTTGTCATCGCTCCCCTAGGAAGTAAAATGGGTACTCATCTGTTTGTTATCAAAATTCGCCTTGCTTTGAATTTGTTAAGAAGTTCTTGAAAATAGCAATAGAGCTAAATAACACTTACCTTCATGCAACCATTCACAGCAAGTTCAAGGACAATCATTACCGGCTCCTCTAATACGGCTACACCAAAAATGCGGACAATATTGGCGTGGTCCAAGCGCCGTATAATTTTTGCCTCCTTAATCTTGTTCTGACCAACTGAACAAATTCTAACTGAAAACTATCCTTACCCGGACAAATGCTGTAAGCTGCGATTTCTTTAAATGACCTTCATGAGCTCTTTTAACTGCGACATCCACAACCTTCCCTTCTTTTAACTTCAATTTTCCCTCATAGACCTCTCCAAATGCCCCACCTGCAATCAACCATCTGTTAAAGAAAATGTGTATATCTCATCCTTTCGACTTAGGGGTGGGAACTTACGCCCCAATTTTTTCCCGAGTATTACTTGCTCATGCAAAATGAAATACTCTGGTCGTGAGACTGCCGTGACCAAAACAGCATTTGATGGTGGTATAGCCTTCTTCTCTTTTACGTATAAACCAATTAGTTCTTCCAAGCCATTTTTGTTCTCCTAAACTTTTGCAACTAAGGGCCGTACGCATGAGCATCCCGGCTGGAGAGGGCGGTGAAGCCACCAACATTTTTAGCGTAGAGAGGAACGGAAAATGAATTCAACGGGTAGGAGGAAGGAGAAGGCTTGTGGATCGTTTTGTGCAAATTAATTGACGCCGTCATAACATCAAAGTTGCTGCGAAAATTAGCCATCTCAAGCATGTTTCTACACCACCGCTCAAAACTTCTGCGGAAAAACGCAATTTCAAATAAAAATCCGTCGTAAGCGTCACATCGTCATAACTAAGTCCAAAATGTGTATTTTTTGAAAGTGAAAGCGGTGTTAGACTCAAATCCTCCAGACAAAT